CCCCTCCGCGCTGAGGTCACTGCCCGCTGACGTCAGTGCTGGGAACCCGAGCCCCGAGCCAAGGCCTGGGCGGTGGGAGGAGAAAGGGGAGACCTGGAAGGGCGGGAGGAGAGCGCCCCAGGGAGCGGAGCCCAGCTCGCGCCCGGCCGGGGATGCCCCGACCTTTCCTCTCCGCCCTTCCTTCCTGACAGGCTAGGGCCACCTCCTCCAGGAGGCCCTCGCGGATACCATCTCCCCCAGTAGGTCCCCCTTTCGGACGCCCACATTTTCCAACAACTCGCTGTCATCATCACTCACCCGGACTGTCACCATGTGCCGCTTTGCCATGTTTCTTAACCAGTGGGCATGGGTTCCTCTTGGCTCCTCGGAAGTGGGGACTGCCTTCTGTTTACGTCCACAGTAACCGCCCTGCCCTCAAGTCCTGCCTCTACAGCGGCCTTTTCTCCAGCCTGGAAATATCCGGGCTGGCCTGTGGGTGGGTGGTGTGGGGGAGCTGGCAAGGCTTTTCTGTGCCCTAGTTCTGGTTTTCCTTTAAATGCCAACATTTTTGAATAAGTTGTCTGCTCTCAACTGTATGCATTTTGCCATCCACTCCCCCTTTCTCCTTCCCTCCTTCCCCACCCCTGGTCCTCCCTCATTGTGGACTGAAGCTTTTGTAAACAGGGCTCCTCAGAGGACAGAATCCAGCCTCAGAATCTCCCTCTTCCACACACAGGACTGTGCTCAGGGCCTGGCTCTCCTGGACGTCTGCGATGACTTCTAACCAACATCCCAGGGGCCGGCATACATACATGTTAAATGAGTCAAACCCAGTGGTCTCTGTAAATTCTTGTTCTTGAACTCAGGGCCCTGCTGACCACCTTTTCTGGGGGAAGTCTCCCTTCCTTTCCTGGATAGGCATGCGGGCTTCTCTACCAAGGTCCCTCGCTGGTCAGGTCTGCCCCGGATGTCTTCCTGCCCCTGTTCCTCACCTTGTACCTTGTCCCCCCTCTTCCCTTTCCTCTTACTTTCTTTCCTCAGACAGATCTTATTCATGTTGCCCATTTTGATGTTTATTTATTTTTTACAACTGACTTTCACATCTGCACAGTCCAACCTGGTGCCCCTTCATCCTGCTCCTCCTCCTACCTGGGCGGTCCCTCCCCTTGGATGTTCGGCCACCAGCTCCTATCAGTCTCAGCCCACTTCTCTTCTCCAGAACCAGCTCTTCCTGATCTCCATTGTGTCTGAGATACCATCATCTTTATCCAGTTACTCCACCCACAAAACACTTTCTTTTTTTGGCTTTTCCTTGTCCTTTGCTCCTCAGATCCAGTCCCAAGACTTGTTGCTTCTTCATGTCTAGAGGATTGCAGTGGAATCTGTCAGGCCATCCATCCCACTGTTAGTAGAGTCCTGCATTCACTTTCTCTTCTTTTGCTCAGATCATCTGAGATACCCCCGCCCCACCCCTTTATCGACTGCATTAAGTCTGGACTCCTTTGCCTAATAGGTAAGACCTTTCATAATTTGGCCCCATATGCCTTTTTAGGTTTTTGTCACTTTATACTCCAGGGTCACTCTCCTTACTGTTCTCTAAGCATCACACCAGCTCTGCAGCCCAAAGGCCTCAACATTTTGCCCATGACCCCCATCCCTGCCCTGTATCATGGTACCCAATCCCTGCATGCCTGAACATGCCTGCCCTGCTGTACTGTCGCTCATGTCATAACCTCTTAGATTCCTCACTGCCTCCTTCCCACCCCTCCCAATCCTCCACACTCCCGAAGGCACAGTTGAGCTTGGCCTCCCACCTTGAAAACCTGCCCTGACCATCTTCCCACTGCAGAGTTCATGTTAGTCGTACCACCCACTTGGCATTTATAATCTATTGTTTGGTTTTGTCGATGATCATTTTAGAAGTTGACATCTTGTCTCCAGTTTGCAAGCTGCTTAAAAACAGGTTCCTATGCGCATATACCCTACATCTCCAGGACAGTTCAGGTTTCAGATGCCCTGCTCCACTGCTGCATGCACTCCTGGAATTCTCGGATTTGCCACTGAACGCATCTCCTAGCTGGCCTCTTTACTGGCTCCTTCCCAGAGCTGGATCAGGCCAGATGAGACTCTTACCTCTGCCCATTGAGGGGGAAACAACTTGTTGCAGGAAACAGGCTGGAACTGGATATAAGACGACCAAGAGAGCATCAAACCAAAGAGACCAGGTGTCAGCAAGACCAGAAGTGACCAAGGTCAAACGCCAAGGAAGTCAGGAAAGCCGGTAGAGACAGGTGTACAGTGTCATTCAGCACCTGAATCTGAAGACACTTAATCTCTTCCTGGGTGTGCTGTTGACAGGGATCTGGTGTCCGGGCCTTGCTTTAGTCCAGAATTGATGAAAAAAGTATTTGGACAGGCCATCACCTGATGGTTTGTTTTTTGCCTGAGGAAATAGAACTCTGTCCTTATGTAGATTTTTGTATCACTCACCAGGTCACACAGCTGTTCTCAAAAAGCCAGAACTAAGACCATATCTGCTGACTTCAAATTAGACCATGGAGCCCCTGTGTTATTGTTACAATGGCCCAGGGTCCCACATGGTCCTACAGAGCTGTTATTCCAGATGATGACGATGCAGTGAACTGGGGGGAGATGGTGTGCATTTTTGAGACAGGAACAAGGAGACCTTATCCCCACCCTTGCCCATTACCCAGGGTGTGTGATAGCTGCATCACTGGTGGCTAGTTCCTGGATTCTGTAGAGAGCATAGATCATCAATAAGAACCAGAAGGCAAACCCCTTACTTTCTCATCCTCTTTTCTTTCTCCACACAAACCTAGAAACAAGAAGCTTAACTTATCTCACATTCAAAGTCCCCAAGTCACTAACAGTGTAATTGTACACAACTCCCAACTCAAGATTTGGGTCTCAGATAAGTTTCTTATAAGGTCATATACATTATAGTACAAATTCTTTTTGAAACTTCCTGAAACGGCCCTTAAGTTGCTAGAACCAAGATCCTTAAAAGCTCAAAGGTCCAGATTTCACTTCTTTTTGCCGTTGTGTGTTGCCTGCTGCCTCCCTCTCCTTGGCACAGCCAAGAAGTAGTTTGAGCATCAGGATAAGGACCGTAGGTCCTTCCCCTCCTCCTCTTGCGGCTTTTCTTCCTCCCCTTCCTCCTCATTCATCTCTTCCCCTTCCCCCGAGGGCCTTGAGTTGAATTTTGAACCTGACATGTCCTGACAGACTGCCCTGACCCGTGACTCCACCCACTGCCAGAGGGCAGAGAGTGGTGGAGGTGGGGCTGGACATAAGTGTATGCCTCACCTGGACCAGCAACTTCTGTGCCTGTGACCCCCAACCCACGGGTTTCCCTGGTCCTGGATGCCCACCTGTGTGGCCCACTCTAGAGTGACCCAACACATCCCAGCTGCCCCCCTCAGGCCAAATCCCCATCCAGAATGGGGTCTCTCTCCTGAGGAGTCAGCTCTGGCCCTGTCTGTAGGGTCATCACACAGGCCTTGCCCTCTTCTCCCCGTCAGGAGCACCAGGGGGCTGCCTGTTACCCTTGTCTTCCCAGCATCCTGTTGGGCCTGCAAGGCCTTGGCTTGGTTGCCAAGGTTACCTCCCACTCTCCTGACCTT